TCGGAGGGTAGGCTTTCTGCTGAATGCTGGAGATAACCCTTCAGGGAAACCTGTGACACCTACCCACATTCTTATAGGCCACTAAGAGCAGGCTATCCGCTCCATCAGACAGTTCAGGCCCTGCTCAGTCACAGCCTGCAGGCAAGTGGCCACATGTTTTGCAGTGCTAGGCCTGCTCAGCCAACCTGGCCTTCTGGATCAGCTCTGTCTTTTTCAGGGCACCAGGCCAGGGTCAAGGGCAAGGCGAACAAGGGCCAACCAGGCCTGACCCAGATCCAGAGGAGTCCTCTTAGAGATCAGCAGCCAGGGCGTGTGGGCTGCACATAGTGACTTCCCTCAAAGATATGGAAAAGAGCTGAAAGAATAACTGCAGTGAATAAACCTGAAAAACTCTTCAGTGTCAAGGTCAGCATCAACAGGCATGAACTATATTGACAGTGCGAGATGAGGTGAAAGCAAGCTGCCCTGCCCCTGCTCCACCTCACTCTATACTCCAGCCATATGGGCTTCTCTCGCTGGTTCAAGCATCTGAGTTTCCCACTGTTCCCTCCTGGATTCCTTGCCTGCGAACCCGTCCCACTCACTGTCTAGATCCTGCTCCTTTCCCAAGACTCAGTTTATGCATCTTCCTCAGGAAGTCTTATGGAATCCTTTTGTTTTAAGCTCTCATAGAATAAGAAAAATTCCCTTTTGAAAACATATTGATTTGATCATTATTTGGGTAAACTGTGTTTTTCCCCCCAAAATGGAGTCATATATTCTATGACGAAGAAGAAGGAAGAAAAGAAGGAGGAGGAAGAGGAGGAAAAAAGAAAAGATAATAGGAAGTTTCCACAGGACAGATCGGGGGAGACCTGGAGGTCTAGAGTGGGAATGGAGAGGCAGAAGGAAAAGAGAGTCTGAAATCTAAGAGGAAGGTCTACTGGGGCTTCCGGGAGCACTGGACAGGTGGGGTCTGTAAGGAGGTAGAGGACAAACCCTGAGTCCAGGGCCCAGCTCCAACCAGGTGACAATATTAGAGATGATGCTGGCAATCCCAGAAGCCAGATGCTCTGTAAGGGGAAGAGAAATAAGTACTAGACAAACCACACCCCAAAAAAACCCATATAACAGTGTATCTTCCAAAGCACTGGAAAAATAAAAACAAAGAAAGCACAGTCTATATACAACATGAGGAAAAGAAATGAGAAGGGGTAGAAAGGAAAAAAAGAAAGAGAAAAAGAAACAAAGAAAAACAAAGATTAGATAAAAATCAAGGAAGTATAGCTGGGTGAGGTGGCGCATACCTATAATCCTAATAGCTCTGGAGGCTAAGGCAGGAGGATCGCAAGTTTAAAGCCAGCCTCAGCAAAAGTGAGGCACTAAGCAACTCAATGAGACCCCATCTCTAAAGAAAACACAAAATAGGGCTGGGGATGTGGCTCAGTGGCTGAGAACCCCTGAGTTCAATCCCCAGTATCCCCCTACCCCTGCCAAAAATGTAAAAAAGTAGAAAAATAAAATATTAGAGTGCATGTCCATAAGAGTTAGGATTAGTCAGTAGGGGTCAGTCAAGTATTTTTTTTTCTCCTTTTCTTTTATATTCAAATATAAAACTACAGGTTCTTCGAGAATATTTTACTGCAGCTTTGAGAACCAGTATGTCAAGCATTGTTAGCTTGGTGAATTAGAATAAAAATCAATATTATAAAATAAGAACACAAGTGAATGAGACAAAGTTCTTACCTGCCCCTGACTCCCAACTTTCTACGTGACAACAGAAAAATTCCCAGAATTTCACAACAAATATTGTCGGGTTTAAGACCTGAGGAGCTGCCTGGGTCATGACAATGCCCGTTGGGACTTGTTGGGCAAGGCCCCATTGTAAGCAGAAGTTCAGGTGACCTCACTGTCAGGGAAGCAAGCCCTACGTATGGGAGGAGCCAAGATCACAAGACCAGCAGAGGAACAGCACAACATTGTGCTTGCTGGTTATGGGATGGGGTGCAGGCCCCAGATAAAAACACAGCCTCGCTGACTCAGGCTTTTACAGTTGTAAGGAAAAGTGATGAGTGAGGGCAGGGGGAAAGTCTTGTCACAGGAACCATTGTGCACAGAAACCCAGGAGGATCGGGAGGAATGGGTGTAAGGCAGCACCAGGAACCTGAGCAAGCAGAGCTGGGGGTCTGCCCTGGGAGTCCTTCGCCTCTATATCTTAGCAACTCTTGTGCTAAACGTTCCCTTCTCGCTGGTAGACACAGTCCTCATGTGCTTCACCTCTTTTCTTTTTATATTTTAAGCTTCTTAAATTTTTTTTAATTTTTAGTTGTAGTTGGACACAATATCTTTATTTATTTATTTTTAAAATTTTTTTAGTTATACATGGACACAATATCTTTATTTTGTTTATTTTTATGTGGTGCTGAGGATCGAACTCAGTGCCTCACACATGCAAGGCGGGCGTTCTATGCTCACCTCTTTTCTCTCTCTCATGGCTTCTGCTCATTGCCACTTTCCGTAGGTGCCCCATGATGGCCCCATGGCCTTCTCTAACTGGGGCCTTGCAGCCCAACTTTCACATTAGCTGCCTCATTCCCTTTGATATTTCCTGGTTCAACTTTTTTTTTCCCAGAAAAAAATGGTCTAATTTTCCCAGCCCGTGTCTTCACACCAGGACCAACATAGATACCTGACCAGCCTTGTTCTATCATGCCCCATTCACCCCATGGGTGAGGGAGGGATCCTCTGCACTAAAATAGTATAGGATAGCCAAACCCATGACATCTGCCACTGGACAGATAAGATTGATAGCAGTTTACTAATCACGTAGACTCATAGTCCAGGGGAGAAAGACACCACATGTCATGCAGGGCCCATGGGGTTATTCTTGGGAGCAGAGCAAACCAGCAAGGGCTATGGAAAGCTGGTGTCATAGTAGCACTAGATGAGGGGCTTCAGTTCCTGCAGCAGAGTGTGATTGGCTTGTTGAATAATTTCCCAGCTGGCAGGGAAATGGAAACTATCATTGGGTGAAGTTTAGCTGACCCAGTTAGTAAGGAACTAGCCACGTGGGGAGCATTTCAGCTTAGGGGGACCATATCTGGTGAGACAGAGGAAATTAGGGCTAGGTTTTTAAAGCCCTGTGAGGCTCAAATTCATATTCTAAAGATTTTACCACATATTTTAGAGCTTAAACACAAGCCTGTGCCTTCAGCTCTGACCCTTTTGCACATAGAACAACCTGCTGCTGGTTGCTCATTTAGAGTGCTTTCCCTGGGTGTTAGAGTCTGTAAACAAGTCAGGATGGCGCCTGGCATTTTGCCAGAGAAATGTTAGGGTCTGTAAACAAGTCAAGATGGCGCCTGGCAAAATGCCAGAGGGAGTGGTTTGTGAAGTAACGCCAGTGAGCCATTAAGTGTGGAGATTCCTTATTGGTTGACTGATGTATCTAGTTTATGCTAATTAAGATAAGCTGTGTGGAATGTATAAACACCGCTCCTGTCCTACAGTAAACGGCTCCTACTCCTGCTGTATCAATCTACACAAGTTGTTCGTCACCCCCCGGTTATTTTGCTGCAGCCGAACTGCGGCACCTGGGGTCCTAATGGGGACCCTAGTAGGACTGTTCTGCTGAGCCCATCCCAACACTAACCCGGCTCCCTCCTGCTTTCTCTCTGCTCCCCTGGCTGGGGCGGCCTCTGCCTGCATTCCTGCCTCAGCCACTGGACTTGTGATTTGGACCTGATACCTGAGAATGGCGTCTCCTTGAAGAGAGTGGGAAACTTGACCAGACTTCTCCTCGGAACAAAGCTAGAGAACAGAAGACTCTCCAGGGACACCCAAGAAGAGAGATCACCAAGGTCATGATATTATAGACCTTGTTCTACTTAACTTCAATAAAAAACTAGAGATGAGTATTGTTCATATTTTGTGGCATTTCCAGAACCAGAATGTCCCTCCCTACTCCTGTTTTTTTTCTTAATATTTTATTTTTATGTTTTAGGTGGACACAATCTCTTTATTTTATATCTATGTGGTACTGAGAATCAAACCCAGTGCCTCGTGCATGCTAGGCGAGCACTCTCCCGCTGAGCCACAACCCCAGCCCTCCTGGTTATTTTTGACCTTCCAACTATGCCTTAAGGGTGCCTGTTTTACTCAGCTTTTTCACTGCTGTGACTAAAGGACCCAACCAGAATAACTTTGGAGGAGGAAAAGTTTGAGGGCTCAAGGTTTCAGAGGTCTCAGTCCATTGACAGCTGGCTTTTTTCCTGAGGTCTCCAGGTAAGAAACAACAGAGCAGAAGAATGAAGAATGTGGCAGAGGGAAGCAGCACACCTGACGATCAGAGAGCAGAGAGACTCCACTCACCAGATTAAAAAAATGCAAGAAAGCCTCGCCCCCAATTCCCACCTCCTCCAGCCACACCCTCCCACTTCACTTACCACTCAGTTAATCCCTATCAGGGGATTAGTTCACTGATTGGGTTAAGACTCTCACAACCCAATCATTTCTCCTCTGAACCTTCTTGCATGGTCTCACACCCAAACCATAACAGTGCCCCAGAATTTCACATCCAGCAAGGAAGACTGCCTTTCCGACACGCTCACGTGTACAATTAGGAATGGAAAAGGGCGCAGGGAGAGAGGCCGTGACCCAGGCAACGTTCCATTCTAAAGATTTGAAATGAACTCCTTCAGGTACCAAAAGAGTAGTTCCCCCACACAAGGTGCAGGAAGGGAGGAAATGCGAACAGAGGAGGTGCAGGGGAAGAGCTGGACGGATGATCATACCAGAGGCAGGAAGTGAGTGAGAGGAACGGAATAAGGAGGAGGAAGAGGAAGGAAGGTGCAGCCAGCTGAAAAGGAGATGTGTGTCTACGGCAGCCCCGGACCTGAACAGGGCAGCTCGCCCCAGGGAAGAAGGGGTTCAAGCTTCAGATGAAGAGGACAATGGGAATGTGATGTGGGTACCTGCCGGCCACCAGCCTCCTAAGCAGGCAAGTGAGAATTCTGGGGCATCAACCAGGAAAAGCCTTGAGCAAACAGTATCAAGAGAATTGCTTGATGGGTCTGAAGTAAATTCTTTTCATATTTCATTCTTACTTCTTTAATTTAAATTAAATTTCAACTTATACAAAACAATTGTGCATATTTATGTGGTGTTTTGATACAGATATACATGGTGTACTGTTTAAATGCAGTAAAACGGGTCTGCCTCTTCTAGACATTGATCTTGTAATTTTTATGTGATGCAGATGAGGCATTTATGAAGAAATGGGGGAGCCTAAGGCAGTGCCTCAGAGATCAGGGTCTGGATGCACCTTAGCCAGGCTGTATGAACTTCTAAATTCTCTCCACCTTCCCCTCCCACTTAACCCAAGTGCTTTCCATTCCAGCTGCCCCTGTGGGGGGTCAGAGAATTCCCAGTCAAGACAGACTGGGATGGGGATACGGCTCAGTTGGTAGAGTGCTTGCCTGCATGCACAAGGCCCTGGGTTTAATCCCCAGTACCATTAAAAAAAAAAAAAAACACCAGACTTCAGGATGCCATGGGGTTAATTTTGAAGAAGGGGGGAAAAAAACTAAAGTACAAAGTCATCCTGGCGTATTGAGAAGAGACAGTTCCTCAAATTCAACAAGCATTGGGCTGGGGCAAGTCCTTTCAGGGTTCTGAGGGAACGTATGGCCGCTTACAGATGAAAGGTAACGTTTTATCACAGGAAACGTCATTCCATGACATGAGCAAAGGAAACCTTATATCGGCACAGTGTTCATTGTTTCCCACATTGTTGGGCTCACCTGGAATCCAGAACCTTCCAAATCAAAAAAAAGAAGAAAGACATATTGGCAAAATTGGAAAACAAATAACTTATTTCCAATAAGGAAATGAGTTACTTCAATCCCTTTGTTTTTCCCTCACCTTTGGTCCTAGGTAAGAGCAAACCAAAGCAAATTTTTTGCACCCAAGCCTAAGAGGAAGGAGATTGGTTAGACTTCAACCTCTAAGCCCACCACTTATGAGCCCCTTCATGAACCCACTCTGCAAAGACCTAGACTTGAGATGGAACTCCCTGCTCAAACTGAGTTGAAGGCCCTGCTGCCAAATCCCAGAGGCTGTGGAAGGCCACAGATTTGTCCCAGGTCCCTCAGTCAATGAGTGCCAGCAGTGAGCCAGGTCTCAGTTCCCATCGTGCTAGGACAGGGATGAATCACAAACCCCATGTTCCATGGGAAATACTCCCATCCTTGATGCCCTAGGAGAATCAGGTTGGGAAGGAGGGTACAAGAGACTCACCTCGCACTTGGGTCATTGAATGGAGTATTATCCGTCCAGTACCAGTTCCCTTCACTCCCTGTTTTGGTTAGGCCAATCCAGAATGGAAAGTCACTTGCTGTCTTGTACAGAAACTCCTGTGGGGAACTCAGAATGATCAGAGGTGTTGGCCATGACCTGAAGTTTGAGTCCCTGTCTCCAGGTATCGATGCTCAGTGATAGCCTCTGAACTCACAGGCCCAAGGCACATGCTGGACCCTCTCAGGCCTCTTCCTGCCTTTACTGGGAACCCAGAGTCTGTCTTTCAAGTTCTGATTTTGTCTTTGCTCTGCAACTAACAAACTCAGGACCCAGGTCTTTCTACTTTTCCAGAAGCAGGTACTAGAGTACAAGAAAGACTCAGGTAAACTACAGAGCAGAGACCCCCAAGAGAATGGCCCAGATGACAGTGTTTAAATTCAGTGAGCCTCTTCAGTCAGAATGGCAATTCCCAAGGATACAAACAATAATAATTGTTGGAGAGGATGTGGGGAAAAAAAGCACACTCATACATTGCTGGTGGGACTGCAAATTGGTGCAACTACTCTGAAAAGCAGTATGGAGATTCCTCAGAAAACTTAGAATGGAACCACCATTTGACCCACCTATCCCATTCCTCAGTTTACACTCAAAGGACTTGAAATCAGCATACTACAGTGACGCAGCCACATCAATGTTTATAGCACCTCAATTCACAATAGCTAAACTATGCAACTAATCTAGGTGTCCTTCAACAGGTGAATGGATAAAGAAAATGTGGTACATATACACAATGGAATATTATTCAGCCTTAAAGAAGAATGAAATTATGGTATTTTCAGGTAAATGGATAGAACTAGAGAATATTATGCCAAGTAAAATAAGCCAATCCCAAAAAACCAAAGGCCAAACATTTTCTCTGATCAGCAGATGCTGATCCATAGTGGGGGTGGGGGATAGGAAAGAATGAAAGAACTTTGGATTATGCAGAGGGGAGTGAGAGGAGAGGTGGGGCTGTGGGGATGGGAACGAGGGTGGAATGAGACAGACGTTATTACCCTCTTACACATATGATTACACAACTGGTATGACTGCACCATGTACAGCCAGAGGAATGAGAAGTTGTGCTCCATTTGTGTACAATGTGTCAAAATGCATTCTACTGTCATGTATAACTAATTAGAACAAATTTTAAATTTTTTTTAAAAAGCTATTTTTAGATTAAAAAAAATTCAGTGAGCCTTTAATATGTGCAAGATACCAGGAACAGTATTCTGGTGCCTTGCACATATTATATTATGCATCTTCTCCTTTATTCTCTGAAGCAGGCACCATTACTATGCAGGTTTCATCAACTAATAGTCTGAAGCCCAGTGAAGGTAAGTAGTCTACCCTAAGGCTCCAGGACTAGTTAGATGGCAGGTTAGGGCTCTAGGTTACTCCAGAGCACATGCTCTTTTCTGCTGTACTTCCCACCTCCCAGATAGAAAGATCAATATGCTGCCTCATTAGAAAAGAAATTTCTTAAGTCTTGTCAGGTCATTAATGCTATTCACAAATATTTCCGTTTTCAGGACACATGGAAAGAACACCCCTCCTGGCCTTCTTTAAAAGTTAGCAGTACTGGCCAGGCAAAATGTTGTACACATGTAATCCCAGTAACTTGGAAGGCTGAGGCAGAAGGATTGCAAGTTCAAAGTCAGATTCAGCAATTTAGTGAAGCCCTAAGAAATCTACAGAGACCCTGTTTCAAAACAAAAAATAATAAATAAACAAAAATTTTAAAAGCTGACAGTACTGTGTGTAATTTGCTTTCTCCGGTGAAATGTGAGCAGAAGTAATTTTGTCACGTTTGGGCAGAAGCTATAAAAGTCAATGAACAATTTACTACATTCCCTTTCCTAAATCTTAGTGATTATAGATAATGTGTTAAGGTGACACTGAGGTCCTTGAGCAACCATAATGAGCAGAACCTGCTTGCCGGTTCTTGTGAGACAGGTAGTATAAAAGAGAAATAATCTTTCATTGTTAGGTCACCAATATTTAGGGCTTTTTTATTAGCCTTGCCCAACATCCCTGAGACAGGTGTTAGCACACCCCTTTACAGAGCTCCCCCGAGAAACCACACTCACCTGCTCGCTCTTAGAGGTCACTGAAGTCAGATGTGAGTTCCTGGACATACAGAACTGCTGGGCACTGTACCAGGTCTTTGGGGTGTGAGAGAAGTAGTAGAAGTTCCCCTTGAAGTACTTCCAGTCTTGGGAAACCATCTGCAGAATGTCATCTGGAGGATAAGGGCCAAAGGTGAGCACTGGCTTCTGTTCCCTGGGGCTGCAGGATGGGGCTGGGTACTTGAATGGGATTCCAAAGACAACAAAGAATGGGGTTGGGCCCTGGGGTCTTTGGATCCTGCTATGGGAGCTTGGGGACATCCTTATGGATCCTGAAAGTCTCACTGAGACTGATGGATAGGGTCTCTGGGATTAGGGAAGAGAGACTAAGAGGGGGATGGATTGCAAACCCTTCTTTCCCATGAAGGAAAAGCAATTCTCCACGAACAGTAACAAATAGCTGGCCCCTGGGCTTGAGGTAAGGAATTTAATGGGAAATGGTGAGATGTGGGCCAGAACAGAGATCCCATAATGCTCCATTCCTTGGTGTGGGGGCCCAAGCTGAACCGTGAGGTTTTCTCTTCTAATATCCCCAAAGTTTTCCTCAACCCCAATGCTAAGTTCTCACTCCTTAATTTTCCAGCACATTACTGCCCCTTGCTTCTCACCCAGCAGCTCAGTGGTCTCGTGTCTGAGGCAAGCAGGTCTCAGGGGGGCCACTGGTCATTTTGCAATGCCATTTCCTGAGTCACTTACTTTGTTGTTTGAGCGACTTGCTGATGGTCTCCAAGCTGCTCTGCAGACCCCGGACCTTGGCATTTAAAGCACTGGCTTTGTCCAGATCTCTTTTTAACTCTGGGATTTGGGCATTTAAATGACCCACCTCCTCCCAATTTCTTGTTAAGCTTTGGATCTGTGCAGTGGCTTTTTCTATGCTGGCTGTCAATGTCAGGATCTGAGCATTCACACTATCCAGGCTGGCATCCACCATCCGGATCTGCACGCCGGCTGCCTCCACATCATGGCTGTTCTTCTCAACTTTAGAATTCAGGGCACTGACATTGTTCACACGACCTTTCAGCAACTGGGCATCTGTCTTTATGTCCGATATTGTGCCCATAAACCAGGGATCTGAATGTATGAAAGTTAAGAGGTCAGTTGAGCAGATTCCCAGGGAAGGAGAGGGGGTGTAGTCAGGGTGAGAAAGGAAGGAAGGGGAGGGTCAGGCTCAAACTTCCTAAGAATCCAAGGCAATCCAAGGAGCTACTTCTACTTTCCAGTCATTCATTAATGTTCAGCAAGCATTCAGTGGGCACCCAGGGAGCACCAGGATTCCGGTGGAGACAGATGATGAGAAGATAGATAAAGCACAGGTTTTCTATAGAGACCTCACAAGCAAGAAGAAGCAGCCATTAGAAATCAGTCCTGAATCTCCTCTGAGTGTTCAGGGCAAATTTGGGAAAGGCATATCCTCAAGCACCCCTTGTCACTCTCCCCATAGCCTGGGGCTCTGGGCCACCTCAGTTGGGAGATAGGGGAGACAATAGCATGGGGTGAAAAAAATAGGTGAATGTGTCCTGAGGATGGAAGCACAAACATGCAGGCCCGGAGCCAATCAGGAAAACCTCTCAGAAACTTGGAAGGAAAAGTGGCAGCTCAGTCTACTGGGGACAGGGCACCCTATTACTGCACACAGAAAGAGGAGAAAGGAGACAAATGAAATGCCTTAGGAAAGAGAGAGCAGGAAAGAGAAGGTCTGGGTCCCCAGGGAGCCAACTAGCTGTGGAGAAGGACAAAAGGGATGCGAATCCTGAAGACTTACAGAGAATGGCTTGCAGCACAACGGAGGCGACCAGGACCAGTGACAGGCAGATTATTGCCACGTGGAGGATGAGAGGTTTCCTCAGGACCAGAGATGGATCCTGCTTGGGAGGAGGCTCTGGAAGAAGAATCAAAGTTCTGTTAAGGACAGCAAAGGGTGGGTTTGGACCCAGAGCACAAAACAACAACTGGTGCTTGCCTCGGGGCCAGAGGGAGATATTCTGTTTGTCCACAGTGAAGTGCGCATCGGGGACCTCCATCTCTGTGGCCTTCATCCCCCACACTCATGCACAGGTGCTTCTGGCCGCCTGTCCCCCCAAGCACGTTTTATCCAGAGAAAACAGGAAGTGATCCCACAGCAGGTCACTATGTCATCCTGAAGTTCCCCATTCCTGGCTTAGATACCTGGCCAGACCAAGGCCACAGCTTGGTCTCCTCAAAGCTCTGAGTTTTCAGAAAGAAATCATTTGTCTTCCCTGGGAGTCTGTGGATGGACACTTTAACCATCTTGCCTCAAAGCTATCCCATTTCTCTTGTAAAGTTTCCTTCATCTATCATCCGCCCACCCATCTTTATACCCCACAAAGAGATATCAAGTGTCTTCCAGGCACCAAACTCTGCTCCAGGCACAGGGAGGCAAAGATGGACGGCTCACTCAAGCAACTCAACATCTGAAAGGAAATATAGACCTGAGCAAGGGAATTGTAATACAATGTGCCGAGCATAACAATGGAGGAACATGTACAATTCAAAGGAAGAGTAATGACAAACTGTTCCAGGTACAGAGATGAGCATATGCAAAACAGGGTAACATAATGCAGCACGGAATGCCTGGGAAATTTTAAGTAGATGTTGCTATGTGAGTATAAAGTATATGACAGAAGGCAGGAGGTGTGGAGCTAACAAGGTGCCTGGGGTCAGATCATGAAGATCCTTTTAGATCATGTTGAGGAACTTGACTTCTGTCTTGTGGATAATATGGAGCCAATAGAAAGCTTCAGGAAGGGAAGAAAGAAGCACAGGAACATTATAGAAAGATCACTCTGATTGTGGAGGAGCATAGATCAGGCTGCAGGAATCCTGGAAGCAGGGAGACCAATTAGGAGACAATTTCAATAAAGCATTCTGCTTTATTTTGTTAAGGCATCTTAGCTGATGCAGTACCCTTTTTTAAAATGCAGTTTAGAGAGTGAAAAGATGTAGGTTTTCCTCCCTGCTTCCTGTAGTTGTTAGTACCTCCAACAGAGCGGAGAGGCTGAGTAGCATCAGACTAGGAACTGGGGTTTTTTCCTTTCTCTCTCTCTCTCTCTCTCTCTCTCTCTCTCTCTCTCTCTCTTTTCTTTCCCTTATTCTATTTTCCTACCTCCTGTCTCCTTCTCTACAACCTGAACTAGGGAGTTCCATATGTGAGAGATGTTTAAGGAACAAAGGAGATGATTTAGGGCCCAATGAAGGACTAAATGTTCTCCTGAAAAATTTCTCATGCTTAAAAGAAGTCTGCCAAATCTGAGAAACCTGGCACATAGCAAACTTTAGACAAGTATTTCTCAGAAAGTGGGAAAGAGGAAAGGGAGAAAATGGAGGGAGAAAAGAAGGAGAAGAAAGGGAAAGAAGATGTTACAGATAATTGGATGAATGGATGGATGATCAGTGGATGAATGAATGAATGAAGAATGGATGATGGATGTGTAGGATGATGGAAGAATTCTTGGATGGGAAAACGGAGTATTTAGTGAAAGAGTGAAAGAAGAGAAGATTAATGGATGGATGGATAGATAGAGGATGGATGGATGAATAGATGATAAGTGAGCAGAAGATTTGATGGTTGATCAAAGCTTAGAAGGGCTTGGAATATTCTGCTTCTGGGTTTTCTTGCTTGGTACCCAGTCTAAGCCCAAAGTCACCCCAGCCTTTCTGCTCCTGTTTCCTGGCCCTATATCTACAATCTGTCAGTCCCGAGGTAGAAAATAATCCAAGTTACACAAGATTCCTTCAGGTGTCCCAGGCTCCTCCTGGGGCATTTGATAGAAGTTGCCACAAAATACATCTTGGGAGTATCTGGTCTCTTCCACTTCTGTCAAGAAATTGACTTTTCCCAAATCACTATTGGTTTGTAGCATGAGTTCTGGATAGGGCCCCTGGATACCTCCTTAGTAGTCCTAGGAAAAAAAATCAAGGTTAGGTAGCAATTACTCCTAGTGATGGAAATGGAGGCCTCAGGTGGATATTCTGCTGATTGCTGAGCAAAAGGCTGGCCCAGCAGGAGGAAGCTAAGCAAGAAACAGGAAATCCTGGGTTTCCAGAGGAGCCGGACATAAAAGTCCCAAACCAGAAGAAGTTTCATTTCCTTTTTGAGGAAGGAGTGAGTCACAAGCTATTTTCCTATGGCCATGCTCATCTGCAGGTATTTATTGAGCTCTTCTCCCATGCAAACCTCTGGGTGCTCTAAGTGGTCCCTGGAGAAAAGACGGAGCAGGGAGGCAGTTTCCTCAGACACACCTTCCAACCAGGGAAGTAGACAATTTTTTGTGAACATTCCGGAGATTATCTGTTTTTCCTAAGTAAAGAGGAACTTTGGTCTAACCTAGAGTGACCAAAAATCACTACTGTGATAAGAGAAAGGGAAGTCTGTGCTCATTTCTCTCCATGATCCCAGGGTTCTAAGACCTTCTCTGGATAAGGGTGGAGGAAGTTTGACCACTTTCCCCACTTCTTGGGGTGAAACAGCTTTATGCTTGAAGGAGGATCATGGACACCATCAATGAGAATAAAAAAATAGACTTCAGTTGTTTGAAATGTCCCAGTAGTGCTGAGAGTTACCTCCAAGAAGTGATAATCTAAGTTCCTCCAGTCAAGGCATGAAGAACATGAGAGTGAACAACAATCTGGGGAGTAGAGACAGTAGAAGACAAGAGGGAGGGAAGAACAGGGTAGAGAGAAGAGAGGATAATGACTATGCAATTAGAGAAAATGACCATTACATCTGGCCAGAACTGACCCACAGGCCTCAGAAAGGTTAGTATACATACATCAATTACCTAGTTTTGTTGGCTGAGAGAGTCTAGAAATGATAACACTCCAGTAGCAACAAACACACTCAACACCAATATCTTGGCTTCTCCAATAAAAGATACCAGGGATCTTTGGAGAAATTGATGATTCTAAGGTTATATTAGGGAGAATTCAGATGCGCCTGGAATATCTCGTGTACCAAAAAATAAAGAAGTGCTCGAAAAACAAAAGGATAAACAACAGGATGAGAGTGTGTCAAAATGACACAAGAGCCGATCTGAAAGAATTCCCAGTGGCCAAAGTTGGAGCTATTTGGGCAACAAATGGTTTATAAACCAAAATATAAAATAAACCTTCATGAGTCCAAGCTAATTTAAATAAATAGAGCAGAAAGACAAATTTTCCTACAGGAGAATCCCAAATAATACACATAGATATTCTTCCCTTCAGGAGGTGGTGCTTAATTCTCTCCTTCCCTCAATAGGCTTTTATCCTGAAATCTTATAAAATTTACTAATTAATGCTAACAATTTATCTGTAGATGCTTTAGGGTTTCCTATGAATGGAATCGTATTATCTATGATTAATGTTATTTTTATTTCTATATTCCCAATTCTACTTTTTAGTTCTCTTGCCTTATTGCATTGGCAAGGACCTCCAGTTGTTGAATAGAGATGGTGAATTGAGGCATCTACATCTCATTTCTAGTCTCAAAGGAAAAGCTTTCAACATTTCAAATGAAGACTTCAATTAAAATGAACTAATCACTGCATTATGCATTTCCTATCTACTGCTCATCTACTTCTCCACAGAAGATAGGGTGTTTTGCTTCCTATATTAGTTTCCTCTTGTGGCTATAACAAATTACCACAAACTCGGTGATTTAAAACAATACAAATTTATCTTACATTTCTTAATGTCATGGAACACCAAAGAGAATCCCCAGGTATGATACTGTCCCTTTAACCACACTGGTCAGGAGTTAGCACTGGTTCCTCAACAAGAAGGAACTGAAGATGATGGCAGCATAACCCGTGACAAGGATTTTATAATTCATTCATTCATATCACACTGCTCCAGGCCCAGTTCCCCTCTCCTTCTGGGGGAGGGAGGTAATGGAATGAGAACTGATCTCTCATGTGTACGTACAACCTATAACATATTCTAAGCTCAAACCCACAAAAGGAACAGGACTTCTAAAAACACAAAATCCCACAATAATATATGCAATATTACAACAGGAAATTCTATCCTCTACAAATTAAAATCATAAGGCCAACAAATTATGCAACCCTGACAAATGCCCACATTCTAGTGAATCAGAACACTTCATTTTATACATGAATGTTGGGCAGGCTCCCCTCAACTTTCCTTGCCAACTTTAACAACAGATTTTTCTCCAAATATTTACTTTTTTAAAAAAATATTTTTTAGTTGACAATAGACTTTATTTTGCTTATTTATATGTGGTGCTGAGAATCAAACCCAGTGCCTCACACAGGCGAGGCAAGCGCTCTACCACTGAACCACAACCCCAGCTCTCCAAACATTTCTGTTTTGTTCTTTCTCCGAAAGTAAATTAGATAACCATTCCCAGTTGCAATTCAATACTTTTGTTTCTTTTTTAAAATATTTTTAGTTGTATATTAACACAATGTATTTATTTACTTTTATGTGTGCTGAGGATCGAAGCCAGTGCCTCATACGTGCAATGCAAACATACCACCACGGAGCTACAACCCCAGCCCTATGCTTTTGTTTCTTTAACTGTCTGACTAAGTTTGCAAACTTCTTTCCCTTACCAAGCTCTTGAGCCGGCTCTGTAGTTATCAGTCTCCCTAACTGGAACATAAACCTTCGCTTTTCTCCCCAGTCCCCTAAATTATCCCTGCAGTACTGTTTTCAACCAAGCCCCTTACAATGAGTGGCTTCCATCTACAGCTATTGTGGACACACACACACACACACACACACACACACACATCCACACACACACACACACAAAACAAAATGGATGATGACATTGCTTCTCATTCATTCACTCACACATTCATTTATTCATCAAGAGAGATTTCTGAAGTGTCCACTGTATGCCAAGCTCTATGCTAGATGTAAACTTTCAGCCTTGAGTAAATCAGCTATGGTCCCTGCTCTGCAGAAGAGCACAATTCTTTCTGGATAATTCTTGGCCACCTTGTAGATAAGAAAAATAAAGGGCTGGTGGTGTGGCTCAGTGGTAAAGCGCTTGCCTAGCCTGTGTGAG